CTCGCAGGCCCGCGGGGCCGGGGGAGGCCTGGGCGGGGGCCAGGGGGTGTCCCCGACAGCCCGCCCTCGCGGGGATTTGGGGTTGCAGCGCTATCGTTGCGGACGGCGGGGGAAGCAGCACCTTCAGGGTAGCGGTGGATCCCTTTGAACGAGGTCCAAAGGCAGAATTTCTCTGACTTAGGCTTTTTAATTAATATTTTTGAGGCTGGCCTCTCGTAGATGATTAATTCATTAGTGGTGTGAGTGGTTGTAAGGGAAGTGGCAGGGCATGTAATTTATTTCAGGAGACTTTATTCTTCATTCATTTACATTCTAGCGTGTTTTAGAAATTGTTTAAAACTGTAGATACTTAAATGTGTCATTCTCAGCAGACAATGTTAGGGATGCAGGAGGAGAAGGTATTTAAATGGTAACTTTTTCTGATACCTGCTTAATTGTACTTCCAGTTAAATGAAAGGTAGGGCAGCGGGATGTTTTTAGGCTTTTGGAAAAAGGAGGGCAGATGGCAGTGAGAGTTGTCAGGGCCCTGGGGGCACCTTGTCCGCCCTCGGCGGCCGCCACAGCCCGCTGCCCAGCAGCCCTGTTGGCTCAGCCTTGAGCCTTCAGCCTCAGCTGTGCCATGGCAATGGCCTGGCCACCCGTCCAGCCTCTGACCTTGTCTCCTGGGTGGACCTTGGACCTGTGGTGTAGCCTTGCCTCCAGCCCTGTGTCTGGTCCCGTTTGCTGCTGCTGCTGCCTGGACTCCCTGCGTGGACCCTGGACCTGGTCCCATCCCCACTGCTTATGTGGGGCACTGTCAGTGGACCCTGCTTTGCCCACCTCGTTCAGGTCTGTTGGGACTGGACCCTGGTCCCTGAGAGCACTGCCTGTGCTGTGGTCACACCGGGCTCCTGTCTTATGCTCTTGTAGAGGACTCCTGCTCTTGCTGTTGCAGATAAGAATTTGTATTAGAAACTGATTTTTTTTAAGTCTTTTTCTGCAAAAATAAAACTCCAAGTGAAACTGAAAACTGGATTTAGCAAATAAGAGGGAAGCGCTTTTTTTTTTACCTATATTCTGCCTTTACAAAGATATTTATCTTAATTATTCCCCCCACCCCCAAGAAAGTCTCTCAGACAAAAAAAGAACACCACCTTGCTTTGACTGTAGCTTGTGTGTTCTGTGAACAGGCTTATTGAGAAACTCTTTCAGATGTGCACTTTGATAAGTGTTTGATAATTCTCTTACTATTTTGTAGTTGCCTTTAGGCAGGAGAAATGGAAAAGCTCTGTCTCCACACAAGCAAAAATGCCTCCTTGTGATTTTGTACCTGAAAAATACAAAGTAAGTCATACATGTTACACTGAATTTAAGTAAGAAGGCATTACTAGATCTGAGTGATAGGCTCATCTCCTATAGCCGGTGCATTAAATATGATGATAAATTTTTCTTGGTTGGGGAAAACCCAATTATGTTACAACCAGGATATAACCTATAGATGTACCTGTGTGACAGTTCTGTAATTTATGGCCAACCTGTTGATTTGAAAACCTTTAAAGGAAGAGAGAAGTGCAGAACAGCAGTCTTATTTCAAAAGCTGAGTTTCCGAGTTTTGTAGAACCCTCTACGTGCCGGAATTTGAATCACAAATCTTGGTTCTGTGAACAACCACTGTAGACAGCTGTGTAATCTGTGTGTTCTACTACAGCTCCACTAGCCTGGATCTCTAGAAAGCATAAACCGATACTGACTTTTTTATTCCACTCAGTCCTATCCATATGAACGCATGCAGAAGATTCGTGAACAAAATGTTTCTCCTTCACTGCGCATGTATTACAAGAAACCATTGTTGCTGCATCAAGGACATATGCAGTGGTTGTTTGATCATGAAGGACAAAGATATCTTGATCTCTTTGCTGGGATTGTCACTGTCAGTGTTGGTCACTGTCACCCGTAAGTTTGTTATGGTTTGATTTATACTGTAAAATAAGGAAGAGATACCTATGTTGGTTTTGTTCTTGAGTAATCTGTGGCACTGTGAGCCTAAAATCAGAATATAATTCACTAAATGGTCATGTATGTCTTACATTAAGGTCAATTTCTACTACATTTTGCATAATTCATTGATTTTGCGTATTTGTTCATCACTCTGGCAAACAGCACAGTGTCTGCATTTTCAGAATTAGTAACAGGTAGGTGTATGCATGTATGTGTGCATGTGTGTGTTGAACTGAATCCCTTTGTCTCTTGTGCTACATGCAGGAAGGTAACTATGGCTACCCAGAAACAGCTTGCTCGCCTGTGGCATACCACTAATATCTACATGCACCCGTCAATCCAAGAGTATGCTGAAAAGCTAACTTCTCTTCTTCCAGATCCACTTAAGGTACTTTGCTTCTGACAGGAGCAGGAGCTGGTTGAACGGGATGTCTGTTTATAAGAAATATTTAGTATAAAAATATTTATTAAATAAATGAGAACCGCTGTATCTGTGGAGAGAAAACCTGTATGAGGACTACAGGCTGTCAGATAAAGAGTGCAATGACCCTGAAAGCCGTTTCTTTAGACCCAGATGTAGACAAGCGTAATATCCCCAAGCTCCTGCTTTGCTTGTTCTCTCCTTCCAGTTGTCACTGTGAACGGGCATTGCCTGCTTAAAAATTACTGAAGAAACTAAGGTGATGTTAGCTATTCTTATATGTAGCCAGTCTTAATTTGCTTGATCTCATCGAAATTAACAGTGAAAATTATTTGGCAGTATTTTGTGTAGTGAGGTTTACTGACATTTAAATAAACCACAGAAATGTCACGTTTCGTATGCTCAGAAACAGAAGAATACAGTATTTGCTTTCAGGTAAAATAAACTGGTCATAAAATGAAATTAGGTTAGCAGAAGAATGTGAAGCTATTGCAATCTTAAAAATGGAAGGAAAGTTTAAAAAAAAAAGAAATTAAAGATTGACAGCATCTGCATAGGTTAACCAGTGGAGAATCTCACTCCTGAAAATTAACAGCAGTGACACTAGAATTTGAGGTGTTTTCAGATCTCGGAATTTGTACTCAGGATATCCCCTTAATTCTCCTTTGCTCACAATAAGCAAGCTCTGCTTACCTAGTCTGTTCCATGGTTGTGTCTCTGGATGCCACTCCTAGCAACTAACACACAGGGACACCATACAGCCCTTTTTACCTGTGTGACGGTTGCTTCTGTTCAGTCTTGCTCACTTTGACTCAAACACTTTCATTTTTATTTGGATCACTGTTCCATCTTAGGAGAACCTGAAGACTCCAACTCTAAAAGATTTTCTTACACTCTGAGTGGATCAGGGTGGTCTTAGTTCTCATCTGTGATGCATGGGCAACCTTAAGTTTATTATGGTGAAGTCACCTTGTGGTAGTGATAAGTTATAGCTCATAACCTTAGTAAGTGACATGGTCTGATGCTGAACGAGGTGGTGGTGGTTGTGTGCTGTACTGATCCTAAGCATTCTCCCGTAGGTGGTTTATCTAACCAACAGCGGGTCAGAAGCCAATGATTTGGCTATGTTCATGGCAAGGCTGTATACTCGTAACTTCGACATCATCTCTTTCAGGTAATGGTGATAATCTTTACAAAACTCATTTATGTGTGTGATGAGTTTCTATATGCCTGAACCAAGAAATAATAGAGATCTCTTTAACCCCAGATCTGCTGAGGAGAATGCTATAAAATTATTTTATTTGACAAAGAGGAGTGAAGCAGGAGTTGAAGATTTGATACAGTATTATTAGGACTAGTTTGCATACAAAACACAACCTGCAATTTTTGCTTTTGTTACTTAGAAAAGGGTCTAGTCTCTGGTCCAGGGTGTACTTTGGGAATTCCTTATTCAGGGCCAGAGCAGGCTTAAGCAACTGCTGTATCTCCCTTCATTCCACCCCTGCAATGCCCCCCTTTGTGGGGGTACAAAGGTACCTCTGGAATAGCAGTGTGGTGAACCGCGGCAGGGAACTGCTCTGGCTGGAAGGATTTTCTTGTTTGTTTGTTTTTGCTGCCTTGTTTTTCTGCCAGATCCCTGAACCATAGTTCACTGCACAGGTACACAAACAGCTCTTCTGGCTTAACGACAGCAGTGGTGCAGGGGTGAGTGCTATGTAAGCACCAGTGTAAGCAGTTCTTCTCTTTGCTGTGTATCCCAGGTGGCCTGAAGTATTAGAATAAAAGGTCTTGTTATGAAGAGCTGTATTTCTTCTGTTATTCTGTTCAGCAGAACATTGGGTACCCACCTAGCTTGTATCTTCTCATTAATGAACTTTTGATTTGTGTATAAAACTGGCAGCAAACCACCACGTAGTTTAATGATTGGCAGCATCTGTTGGAGAGAGTAGCAGTTCCCAATATTCAAAGAACAAAGATGTTTGCTCTGTAGGGCTCAGGTGCTACAGGAGAACTCATGAGGCGCTGTCTGAATTGCTGTTGGTTCCAATCATTGTTCTCTTCTCCCTGCAAACATTACCTCACAATTTTAACATTTGAAATTTCAGGAAACCATTGCAGATGAACAGTCATGGATCCTCCAAAAACAGAGCAAAGAATGGCAGTAGGAATCTTCTTGTTTGGAGTGCAACAATACACATTTTCCCCAATAGTTTGTAGCTCAGAAGCATGCCCTCTCAGAACTAATATTGCTGGAGTCTCTTCTTGGAAATAAGTGATGTTCATGTGCTTTGTTTGCTTGCACAGAGGAGCATACCATGGAGGCAGCCCTTACACGCTGGGATTGACATCTATTGGTCTTTACAAGCATGGTGTTGCCAATGGCTTTGGCTGTTCAACAGTGAGATTTTTGTTAATTTTTTTTTTAAATAGCCTGGGTTACTAACAATTTATTTGAATATTTCAACAATTAGTACGTTTTCTATCCTTAAAATACTTTATGATCACTAGCTAAACTGCAGTGTAGCTGTTCCTGCTGCATAAGCACAACAAGAGCCGGAGACCCCTTTCCTTCTCCATATAGTTACTTATGCTAATTTGGAGTCAGGACAGCCATAACAAGAGTGGTCAGGATTTACAGTGGTTTAGTCATGCTTGGTTCTTGCATGGAAGTCTATGTAAGGTGCAAAACAATAATGCTCAGAACCCCTTTTCTCAAGTTTGTTTTGGCAAATCTGTACAAAGCTGCTTTCAGCTGGTCTGGAGTAGATCCCCCCTGTGGAATAAAAAAAACCTGTGTCCCTCATCTCAGGGGGACAGGAGACATAGCTGTTAAGGAGATCCATTGGAGATAAATGGATATATGTTATCTCCCTGCCCTTGAGTGGGTGGGAATGACTTTCTGTCTGCTAGAAACTGTCATTGGCTACCCCGATCTGTGCTGATGATAGCTCAGCCACAGCACTGGATATAGGAAGGCTTCTTCACAGCAGCCTCCCAACCTGGCTCATTAAATGAATTGCCTGAAGTCATGCGGTGTTTCAATCAGCAGTCATGATGAGAGGGCTGGAGTTCCCAATTTCCAGCCTGTAATTACACTACTAGATCTGCCTGCCTTCCTGTATTTTGCAGATTTTTATTGTACTTTGGATTATTGAAGTACTACTGGCAACTCTAAAAATGTTATTACTCTTAGATAACCAAAACTGCTGACTAACTTAAAGAACAGAACAAAGGAAGTCATCAGTTAAGTGACTATTGCTGGAATAGTCTAAATTTTTTTTCCCAAAACTTCTGTCTCTGTTCTACCATTCCTTAAGGGGAAAGTTTGGTATTATTCCACAAGTGTTCTTCAGACAAATCACTTGGACTAGTTATGCCCTTTGACTTTAACAGACTTTTTTTAGTTTTTGTCATTAGTCATCCCTAAGTATGATCAAACCATCCCTCTTAGAAAGATGGCACCAAATCTGTAGCTATTTCTCTTATGCTTGACAGACAATGTTACCAGACGTTTTTCGTGGTCCATGGGGAGGCAGCCATTGTAGAGATTCTCCAGTGCAAACTGTTCGAAAATGCAGCTGTTCAGAAGGTTGGTCAATGACAAAAAGCATTTGGCTTTTCGATTAGAGAAAATGCTGTGGAAATAGGTTATATTTACCTCCTCAGGAAGGGTTGACCTCTGGTGAGGACTTGCAAGGGTGACCAAAGAAAATATTGCAGAGAACCTCAGGCACCTGCTTCCCACTGAGAAAAATCTTGGGCAGGTGACACTTCATATTCTTAGATTTCTTCTTAAAATCCCAGCCTTCATTTCCAGCATTTGTCATTATCAACTCTGGAAGCTGTGGAACTTGGTTCAGCATGTGTGGAAGAACAGAAATGTTGACTGGTGTTTTCTGCTGTTTCTGAAGTTTTGACAGCTCTCCAGATTTTGTTTTGGAATAATATGAATAGCAAGGACAACCTGAAGCCAGTGATAGGCAAAAGTCTTATATGAGGCAAAACTTTCCAAACACAGCACAGAGTGAAAGCTCCTCTATTGCTCTTCTGTTAACAGCAATTACAGTAACTTTTTTGCCATTTTCAACGGACACTCTTTTGTATTTTAATTCACACACATACATCTTACATAATGGAATGTTTTCTTTTTAGCTTTGCCCTCCCTAGTGAATGGGAGCATTAACTGTACTAATTTTTCTGTTCTTTATTTCATTATAGACTGCTAACAGAGCTGTATTCTCCAGAAACCTCATAGCTGCACTAACCTAACGATTCCTTATGTCTTATGCTGATGTTTATTAACCCCTGAGAAAGTGTCTGCTTATTCCTTCTGCTGATATAGGTGATTCACAAACACTCTAATGAATAGCTTACTGAGCTGTATAATGTGCAACATCTTATGGTCTGGTGGCTTTGCCTTGTTTTGAAACTGGCATTCCCTATACTCTAAGTAGTTTAAGAGAAAATAAGGGACTTTCTCCTTTAATGTTTAGCCTTTTACTGTGTATTTGAGAGGTGATATTTACCATGCAGTCAGATAATACTTATTGCTTAGATGTGTAATTTCATATTTTGAAACTGGTTTTGTGTAATTTTAACTAAATTCCCTTTAAACTATTTCTCCCGTAAACAGGTGTATGTCATGCAAATGACCTGTACATCGAACAGTTCAAAGATACTCTGAATACCTCAGTGCCAAAGACAATAGCTGGATTTATTGCTGAACCAATTCAAGTAGGTAGTTTGCTATTTTTCAGTTTGTAATAGCACAAATAGTGTGAAACACTCAAATCTTATATTCAGCTACATCCTAAACATAGACTTCTGCTGATTTTTATTATTTTTTAATGCTTTAAACACCTTAAATACTTGAAAGAATGGATGCACTGTCTTAATTTCAGTTTTTGTCACTGATTTCAGTGGAGCTAGAATTTTGCTCATGAAGTTAAGTTAGACAGCAAATCATGATTAAACATACACACTTCTGCATTTAAAGAGCAAGTATGGAGCATGCTGTTGTTTAGTTTCTAATACCTTCTTCCAAATTTTATATTGCTTTTCTCTTTACTATTTCTGTAAACTTTAACTCAATCCCCCTCCCACCTCTTCCCAGCCATGTTTTCCACTGTATTTTTAGCAGCTGTTCAGCAAGTGGTGTCCACAGGATTCGTTCTTCTCTTGGTGCTTCACCGAGGTTTCAGAACTGCTGTATGTGGTTCTTAAATGGAAAGAATTGAGAATATGTCCAGGGAACAGTAAAGGAAAGAGGGAGGAAAAAAAAAAAAAGTTAAAATTGTGACCAAAGAGAAAATGTGACCTGTTCTCTGGTTTTGCTGTCTTCTAAGCCTTTACATGCTTTAGTTTTAAGGAGCCTTTGCATTCCAGGTGTAGAGTGGAGTTTTTGATTCAAATGAGAACTACCAAGGCAAACAGAAATGAAGAAACAGTGGTTTAAACAAATTTACCAGAAAAGGGACGTGAATTCTCTGGTTAACTTGACATCAACAATGGTTTCTGGGTTTCTCAGTGTGTAGATTTTCAAGGTACTTGTTTTGGCAGTTTATCTTCAATCAATTCTGTCTTACAGTGATCCAGTTTACAGTATGTCCCCTTAAACATTTATACCAGCACAGCTAACGGAACAGCAAACTGTCCTGTGGAATGGGAAAGAGAGACGTGAGCAGGAACTTTTCAGAAGCAGTTTCACTGCTGAAGCAAGAAACTTCAGACAACAATCTTGCTATTACCTGAGGGCTGCTGGTATTTTTTCCTATTGTAGGATAGTCACACAGTGGAACTCCCATTTCCTTGTCTGTTCCTGAAGACATTTCTGTTTTGTCTTGGCAGGGCGTTAATGGAGCTGTTCAGTACCCAAGAAGTTTCTTAAAGGAAGCTTATCGGCTAGTACGGGAAAGAGGGGGCGTTTGTATTTCAGATGAAGTGAGTTTTTTTGACATAAGAGCTCTAGAGTTTGGGGTACCTCTGAAAGTCGTCTTAAAAGAATCAAAGTGAATGCAAACTGGAAGCCTGGAAATAATCTAAACTAAATGCTATACATTTTGTAGCTGAAGTTTAACACGGTGCATGTTTCCAAGCATAGGAGCCTCCCAGTTTTTACTGTCTTTATTCTGCTATGTGGTATTCGGATTTTAGACACAGGTAATGTTAGTAGAAGACTTCAGTCCTGTCCTTGTGGGAGCAGTAAATTTACACAAATACGCAGCTAATAAATGCCAGCTGCGATGTGAAGTGTGTTGCAGTAACAGTTGCTCTTATGAGTGTTGTTGGCATACATAAACTCTCGAAGGGAGTTGATTGCTGTACCTCTGCAAATACATTTTATAAATAGAATTTGCTTAGCTAAAGCTATTTTGAAATAGCAGCAAACACTTTAAAGTGACGGCAGTACGTACCTCAAGCACTGCAGTAGTAGAAATGGGCAGTCGTGGAGCTGAACTGGTAGCTGCAGCTTATTTGTGCATCTTGCCATGCCTAAGACGTGGTGACGTGTTATCTCCTTCATATGCGACAGAAAAAAACAGTTACAAGAAATAGTGTTTTATGCTAAGCCATCTGAATAAGGGTCCTAATACAAGTTGACTCCAGATGTAGTTGCAGTTTATTCCAAATCAGTACAACAGAAAGACAAGAAAAGGAAACCATGTTGTAAAATGTGAGAAAGCAATGGTGATTTCCCTGGATTTTTCTTTTGAAAGGTGCAGACAGGATTTGGACGGACAGGCAGCCATTTCTGGGGATTTCAAACACATGATGTGGTCCCCGACATCGTTACTTTGGCAAAAGGAATTGGTAATGGCTTTCCAATGGCAGCTGTTGTCACAACAAAAGGTATAAGTGTTCCATTCTGCTAAGGATTAAAATAGAGCAATTACAAAATATACCATAAAATAATTACTGGAGAGATGTGTGTTCAAACAGCTGAGCTTTATTAATAATCTTCCTCTCAATCTATCTTTTGACAAATGAATTGGATTCTCATTACTTGCTTGTTTTACCAACTGCTGTGCTATACTAGTGCAAAGTTTTATTTAAATGGGGTTAGTTGTGTAGCTGAAGCAGGTATCACTTGTGAGCCGTTGGTAGAGCTCATGATAGATCCTGGAAATCCTTACTGACTTCGCCGCTTTACTAATCAATGTACTGCGAGTATATAAGGCAGCATGTTAGCCAGATACTTGATTCATACAAATGACTGGCTGAACCTAGTGAAGAAAATTTGTAGATGTCATTTTAAGGGGACAACTGACAGTATAAGTTGGAAGTATGACTTTTCTTAAAAAGTGTGGTTTTAGCATCTGCTAGACACTATAATTCTGGGAAATAGTCATATTTTGCACAGACTAGCATGAGAAAAATAAAATCTTCCTATTGCATTGTCTCCAGTAGAATCAGGGTTGAAGCACAGCAAATTTAACTTAATGGTTAAGTTAAAGCAGATAAATACTGTTACCAAATATATGGCAACTGTAAGAGTAATCAGTGTTGTTCTTTTTCTTTTAGAGATTGCAAGTTCCTTGGCTCAAAACCTTCACTTTAATACATTTGGAGGAAACCCTTTGGCCTGTGTGGTTGGAGCTGCAGTTCTTGATGTAGGGAGAGCTTGTATAAATTTATATATTCCACTTTTTTTTTTGTAGCAAAAGATGAAAAATGTTTACATTTATTCTTACTATAAAGTTATATGTGGGCAATTGTTTAAATAACTGTATAAAATGCATAAACTTATGCATATATTATGCATACATGGCCAGTGTGCCCTGTGTGTAGGAAAAAATAAATTCCTGGTTAGTTCTATTGCAAAGTTTTCATCCCTCTAGCAAGAACAGGAGTCCTTGAATTATGTTTTCAGAATCATCTTTCTTTATCTCCCTCACATTCTTAACTTTGTTAATAAAAATGTAGTAAAGCACTTTCTCAAAAGCCTCAGCTAACTCATAGGACTACGCAAACGCTCAGCTAAACCAAATTTATTTTCTGGCATACATGCTTAAGAAAATTGTTTTAACTCCACACCTTTTACCTTATGCCTAAAAAACGTTAATGATCAGATAGTTAACAATACTTAAGGTCAGAATTCCTTTTGGAAAAGAAAAAAAATTCCTCATGAAAAAGACAACAGAAAAATTTGCAGCATATTTCACTTGTAATCTAACAGAAAATCAGTCGGTGGGCAGTAGGTTGCTATTTAAATTGTTTTGTGCGGGCCATTTTTCCTTTAGTCTCACTTCATTACAGCAAACACTATTTCTACTCATGTTACTTTCCTGAGTGTTTTGGGGTTTTTTTAAGATCTTTTATAGGATGGCTGATCATATAAATAAAAACATTTTGAAAAAACAGTTTACAAATGAGAAAGTCTGAACCCACGTTTTGGGGGGTTTTTTTGGCTCTGAAGTAACTTGTAGCCTGGATTTGAAATAAGTCCAGGGAGGTTGTCAGAGTCGGGAAGAATAAAAGGGAGTTGAAAGAAAAGGGAAAAAAAGAAGCACCCAGTTTAACTTCTGTAATTGTATTTTTTGTTTTTTCATGTGAATTTTCCTAATGCAAATACTAAGTTCATAAAATGGTTTGTGCATGTCAGTGCTGATAGCTGGCTGCATGTTGCAACTTTAATTAAGGAGAACAGAGTAAGGAACAAAAAAAAAGACTGTGATTAAAAAGCATGATGTTGATGAATCTAATTTAAACATCCAAGTTGTTTCCTAAAAGGCTGCCTAGTAGACATAAGTATGCCTTGCCAGATTATGTTCTTCTCATAATACTGGAGAAAGAATTAAAATATTTCTGCTAAGATTTTGAAAATAATCCTGCTGGTCAGGTGTTTTTCAGTTATGACTACATGTGAGCATGAATTACTGGATTATGTTTATGGAATAATAAGTAAAATGTGAAAAATGCCACAGCAACATCAAAATATTAGTTCAGTTGTACTCTGATGCCATTAGAGGGGTGTAAGGGAAGAAAAAGGTAAGGACTGTAGTAGTGAAGGAACAGTCTGCAAGGAAGTGATATAAACATAATGTGCCATCAAGCTAAATGGGGGTTAACTGACTGTATTGGAAGCTTTTCCTGCAAAACTGTCATTGTACATCATTTTAACCAGGCTATTGAAGAAGATGGTCTACAAAAAAACAGTAAGGATGTGGGGACATACATGCTGCTGGAGTTGGCTAAGCTACGGGATAAATTTGAGATTGTTGGAGATGTCCGTGGCAAGGGACTTATGATTGGAGTAGAAATGGTGACAGATAAGGTTAGTGATTTACTTTATTCCTTTCAACTTACAGTGCCATTGGAAGTTTTACCACATTTTATTTCAGTTGAAATAGGAGGAAGATTTGCTATTAAAAAACAGCTAGTGAAGTGAGAACATTGCTCTGGCTAAAAAGGAGCCAGAACATTCCAGCATTTCAAATATTCCACAAGCTTCGAGTAAACAGTGACCTGTGAACCTTAATTGCATAAACTCGTCTCAGATAATTTATGCATCTAATGGTCTCTGCCAGAGATAGGGGTGGGATTTATTGGTGAGACTGGAATACACACTTTTTCATAGAATTAATTTAAACTGAAGAAAATGAGCAGATCTGGGAGGACTGTAAAGACATGGGGGTCCTGATCGGCAGAGGAGGACTCTACAGTCAGGTACTGAACCTCTGGTTATACATAAAGCTTATTTTTTGTCCTTGTGAACTACATCCCGTTTCCCCTCAAGCTAAATTAACTTTAGTAAATAAACTAGAAAAGGTGTACTCTTAGGAATTGGGTCAGTTTAATTTTGCATAATTTACAAATTGGGCAGGAGCTATTAGTTTCTTTTCAAGTATGTTGAAGTAGCTCTAGGCTTCCTATTTTCCTTTAGAGGGACAACCTCCCCTAGAAAAGCAATGTGTTATAATGTGTGTAAATTAGAAGAAATGGGCAATATTTAGGTCCGCTAAGTCTTTGCTGCTGGTCAGGTTATCACCCGACCTGTCGGCACAGAACAAGTTTGGTTTTGCTAGTTCTTTTATTCTGGAGAGCTGATAGCATTCCACCTAGATGGCAATTTTAAAAAAAAAAAAAGAAAAAAGTCATTAATAGCAAGTTCAGCAGCACAGCACAGAAGTGAGAATCACATGTACACACCAACTGAAGGTGCAGCAGGCCGTACCCAGCGCACCGTGCCACCAGCTTCTTACTGCATGTGAGCTAATAGCTGAGAATTGCCTCAGGGCTGGTCAGGTCAGTGAAGCCCTGACGTAGAGGAAGCAGCTTCTGTATGAGATTGATGGAGGTTGGCTAAAATAATAGGACCCTGCATCTGTCACCGCATCGGTTCTTCCACAAGTCACAGGCTAACAGGCTGCAGCTCAGACTGCAGTAAAACCTGATTCTGTCTCACGAGAGTGCTGTTCATCTGTGAGTTTATCAGTTGGGTGCTGTGGGTGGGAAAGACCATTATTCCACTCTTGCATAAAGTCTTGGGGTATGATGACAGAAAAATTTAAACTGAAAGGTTAAGATTCTTAGGGCAGTTAAATACTCTTGGAAACATTATCATATAGGTCAAACATTTCGATTTAAGAACCAAAGTTCTTGGCAAATTAAACTGTGCATATATCCCTTCCTGATTAACATGCATTCAAGCTATAGCACCCTAAATGAAAGTTAGCATTTAGTGATTCTTTGATAATACATTCTTTTAGAAGCCTTAGAAAAAGCCTCTAATGTAACAGCAAACCAGCTGACACAATGCAAGAGGCTGCCACTCCCAAGAGATACTGCTTGTCCCTGTGGCAAAGCTGCCAGACAGGAATACACTGCGTATGTTCTTTTCTTACTACAGACCCACCTCAGGTTTTACACTAGCTCAGTCTGGAACAACAGAGCGGCAAACATGACCTCCTGCAGTCAGGTCTCTTTGGGAGGCAGTTGTGCTTTGTCAGAAGAGTGGATTGGGGAGTTGAATGCAGTCAAGTCCAAAATTGTCCCACTTCAGAGTGCATTTATTGAAAGCCTCAGTGTCTGCTGTTATTTTTCACACTTCTGGTTAGATTTTTTGGGGGCAGAAAGTGAGTGCTGACCTAGATGGGCTGCTAGAAAGTGCATTCTTTCCATACAGTTTTAAGGATTTTTTTTTTTTTTCCCTCCTCTCAGACATTCAGAATTAAACCTCCTATGTGCATTACTAAAAAGGATGTCGACTTTGCTGTGGAAGTATTTCACTCTGCTTTACAGAGACACATGGAAAGAGCAGCTGCAAAATAGACTTGGTTTGTTTCCTTACATGAGATGCACACAGAACCCCTGATACTCGCCACCCAGCCTCGGCACTAACCTACACTGGATAAGAAAATCATAGTCTGAAGGTGAAATACTTGTTTGGTATCATAAGAGCAGTCTGACAGATCCACATTTAATAAAGGATACACTCTAATCTGTTCGTAGACATACAGTTAAGTTCTGCAGCAGTGTTGTGTATTAATAAGCTGTGCACCTGTTCTAGCATTAGCATAAAAAGCCCTGATTAGATTAACGGGGTGTCAGATGAAGAGGCAGACACATATTCATCTTGCACCTATGAAAGTTGTAACAAAATTGGTGATTTTTAGAAAGAATGACAGCAAATTAATAAAGTTGGTTTGGGAAAGTAGACTCTGTTTGGATTCTGTAGCACAGGTAGTCCCCTCAGGGGTGGTAGTCCCCTCCCCAGCGCTGCCACAGACTGCCTCCTGCTGCTCTGGCCATCTTCCTTTGTGCCACAGCGTTTGCTGTTGGGTCTCAAGCATGTTTTCACAGAAGCACCGCTTCCAAAACCTTCCCGTTTATACCCAATACATACAAGCATTTGTAAAACACACAACTGATAAATCTCTGGTTTTATTTAAATAAGAAAAAAAATGTAAGTCAAAAAATAATACTGCAGGGTTTACTCTGTGAGATTTCACTTACATAAGCATAATCAATCTCTGGCTGAGAACCACCCTGAGCAGAACACAACTGGAGGTTTCAGAGTTAAAACTGTTTACCCTTACTACAAGGATAGACTGTAATTAGCGCATGAAAAAAATCTGAGCGCACACTGAAATTGAAAAGTTTCTAATTACAGGGACTCTTTTTATCATGGGGCTATAATCCAGTCACCATCCCATTCCAAAATACATTTTTCTTTTCCCCCCCGCTGCTTTTGGGATTGCACAGAACACCCATTCATCATTTAGCAAAGATGCAGACTTGGCTGGTGAAAGAAGATGCCATGTTGCTTTCTTACATCATTACCTCCTTCAGGTTCCAACAAAAAAAAAAAGGCATTGTGGACAATCAGCAAGAACTGCACATTTATCACTTCACTCTCATTCAAATGTTAACTTAACTTGACCCAATAAACATACCATGTCAACTTGTGGGGGGAGGAGAGTATTCTGTCATTTTGTGTCATTAGTTTAGACTTCAGAGGAACTTAATGTTAACACAAGATCAGTGCTTCTGGAAATTATCCTCTAGGGGTTTCCTAAACAACACGGTACAGCCCTTGCTGAGCACAGCCTTCTCCAACTGCCAACTCCAGGCTCCTGAGAAGTCCTCTGTAAAATCCCACTTTCACTCCTAAATCAGGTGTTTGTTATCCCACCTGATGGTTTGGGTGGGGTTTTTAAGTACTACTCAAGATCAGGTAGATCATGCATGTAAACAGTTGCAATACTAATTCTCATGTTGCTTTTTCACTAGAAATCAGATCAATTATTTAGGTCATTCATTTATTTCTCCCTTCATTTATTCCACAAGACTTTTTTTTTCCCAACACCTGACATGGAGGTAGACGTATGAAGCCAACAGAATTGTCAAAACTGATTAACCAGCTTTGTCATCTTACTTTTTCCCTTCTGTCTGCTGTTTAATATAATAAAAAAATTTGAAAGGGCCCTTGGAGATGGCAGAAAAGCCTGGGGTTTTCTGTGTATGGGTGATGTTTCATATTCAATAGAAGATCAAAGCAGCACAGATCCCTGTACTGGCTACACTCACCCTGAGCTAAGCCCTCTCAAAAGAAAAGCAGCAACACAAGTGTTAAAGTAATTTA